TGCTCAATTTTGATTAGGCCAGGGGCCTGTATGCCACACAGGTCATACACTTTGGGAGCATGCTCCCAGGATCCCCCCTGCAATGTAGGCAGCACCAGCAGCCTCTTGCCACCCTCTGCCCTGCCATATCTACTCCCCTGCCGCCTGCTACCTGGGCAGTGCTAGAGGTGTATTCCCTGCCCCCCTCCACCATGTGGCAGTGGGAGACAGCTACAGGGTTGCATGCAGCCTGAGGCCACCAGTTGGACAGCCCTGCACTAGAGTATGGGGTAAAATGAGGTACATGCCAGCTAGCTGTGAAATCCCTAGTCACCAGCTTTCATGGGTGCAAAGCCCAGTAAGGCCAGTAGATTTACAGTGCCTGCTAGGTCAGACTGTATCAGTCAGACAGGAAACCCTTCACCTGAGATTCCTGCTATGAGTGTGGTCCTGAGCAATCTGGCAGTGTAAGTGGGTCTCTGCATGCCTACTGGATAAGGCAGCCTCTGAACAGCCCTTTCAAGGATCTCAATTACTCAAGTACCTAAACATCAGCACTTCCCAAATATTGGAAACAAATTCCTATTATTTTACCTAAAAAAGGCCTATGAAAACAAATCCTAGTAGCTTCAACTGACCCTTCTGAGTATGATTAAAAAAATGACACGATGAAATCCAGCTCATTTAGCTCACAAACTGAAAGTTGAATTGGATAATTTGTGGGGAAATATTACATCATGGGTAAATATCTCACCGAGGAACAGGGAGATCTTTGCGGAGGCAAAAGATATTCTACAAATACACCGCATTTTTACAGATACTCACTGTACTCTAAGGCTATGGACAGAAGTTACACATGACTAGACATTGGTTTAAACCTGTAACTGAACAGAAGTTCAGTGTACATAAACTGCTTTCAAAATGGCCAAAACTGGTTTAGGATAAACCCGGTTGGATGTAGAATCAGACTTAATTGATTTAGGTCAAACTGGTTTATGGAATTTCTATCCCAGACCCCTTCCTGGTTCAAATGAACCCATAGTCCTCCAGCATTGCAGTATATTTTGCCGCCCTGGGCTTGCTGTCTGCTCCAGTGGAGCAGGGACTGCTTTGCCCCGCTGCTTCTTAGCCTGCTTCCTGCGATAAGGATGGGAGGTTGCGGGGGGAGCACAGGAACAGATCCCCAGACCTCCCTTGCTAGGGTTTACACAGGACATGGGGCCTCCCCTGTGGTGGGGGCCCATAAAATTGAGCCCCATGGGGATAGCCCCTGTGGTGGGGGCTTTTTGTCTCTCCCTAGCCCTTCCCATCCCAGGTGCTGATTGCTTCAGTGGCTGCCACAGGGGAGAGGGAGAAGCAGTCCTCTCGGCTGGGTGCCTGCCCATGCAGCCCAGTATGTGGGCACCGGGGAGCACCCCCTTGGGAGGCTTCCCTGCACCCCAGCCCAGGATCCCCCAGCCCGGGCCAGCCCCAGGGAGCTGAGGGGAATTCTTCCCTTCCCCAAAACCAGATCCTCTTGCCTCAGCTGCTGCAAGTCACAGGCAGCCTCAGGAAGAAGAGGGAAATTCTTCCACTCCCCTGCACAAATTTTGCCTCAGACTCACAGCAGCTGAGGCAAAACTGGCTGCAGAGGAGCAGGAGAATTTGTCTCCATCCCTGGTGCTGCCTGAGACTCTCAGCAGCTGAGGCAAGCAGCTCTGGGGTTTGGGAGGGGAAGAAGTCCCCTCAGCTCCCTGGGGCTGCCCCGGGCTGGGGAATCCTGGGCTGGGGTGCAGGGAAGACTCCCAAGGTGGGGGCTCCCCAGGGCCCACATGCAGGGCCCAGCTGGGAGGACTTCTTCTCCCTCCCTCCCTCTGTTGGCAGCAGCTGAAGCGATCAGCAGCTGGAAAGGGGAGGGGGAAATTCCTCTCATCTCCCCAGGCCAGGGGAAACCTCCTGGGGGGGGGCAGCTCCCCCAAGGTGGGCCAGCACCTGGACAGGGGGCTCTTTAATCCTCTGGGGGGGCTGGGGACACTTGGCTGGGCTGGCAATGCCTAGCAGGCTGGTAGACATGCTCTAGCACCCCCCACCTACTAGCCTGAGTCGGTGCAGGCCTCCCCCTGCCATTCCTGGTTTAAAACTGAGCATCAGTTCAGTTGGTTTTTAGTTCAACCTATGCAGCTTAGAGGAAGCTCCCTGGATCGAATCGATTCAGCCTCAGGCTTTTTGACTGTGTGCACTTAGCCTAAAAGGGAGGAATTTACAATGTGATCATAACAAGTGGTTGGTTCTTTTATTCTTGAAAAAGTTTGAAATAAAAATATATAATTTATTATTTTTTTAAAATCAGCTGGAGTGATATATTCTTGTTTCCAATTTCCAACTATGTTGTATTCTTATTTTGTATTTTAAGGGTGCGATATTTGGCCAAAATAAACATCACTCAAAATCCTGACCACACAGTGTCCTATCTGCTGCCAAATATTGCTCGCTTTGAACCAACGATGTCAGCTGGGACAGAAAATGACACTGTTACATGCATTAATCTGGCTGTTGTCGTAAGTAGTTTCGCCACTTGGCTGCTGAAAGATTATGGGAAAAAGAAATAAACACAATCCATGTTAAAGACCTGCAGGATGGGCTCTGTCTGCCTAAATAGAGAGGACCTGATTCTCATTTATGTAGGAATCCTTTGTAAAAAACCACTTGACCAATGGGATGTGATTTGGCAGTGGGTATATTTTATATTTACTTTAAGGCTCTTCAAGATTCCTGAATAACGTTCAGCAGCCTGAGTGCAAAACAGAATGAGGCTGAGGGGCAGATTACCATCAATAAAACACAGAACTAGCAATGAAACCTTGAAGATTTATTGATATATGGCAAAAGGAGATCACTGGTCATTTTTAATATGAAATTGAATAGCAACTCTTCAGGACCACAGTGTCTTCTCCACCAAAGGTGCAGCATTCACCATACAGTATAATCTTTCCACACTGTTTGGCCAGTCTCTTTAGTTTGCTCTATAGGGAAAGGCTGGACTAACTCCCATGCCTATTCTATACTTGGCCTCCCTGCCACTGCTGCTAACAATGGTGCCAATTAGTGCCAGTGAGGCCGCCCTGTCCCCTGAGCCAACCAGTCCTATTAAGATCACCGTTCTTTTAACAAAAGTATTTTGTCCAAGCAACCTGGGACCTGATCCATAGAGTAGTTCTCTACTTGTTTTTGTCCATCTGAACTGTTTGTGTTAAAAGGACTGTGTATCTCTAATTTAGAATAAGAGCCAATGAAAACAGGATACATTTTTCACAAAAAAAAGATTTTTTTTTTTGTCTAAACCCCCCAGGGAAATCAGATCTCACCCCCCAAAATGTAAATACTATGCTATTGTTGTTGTTGCTGTTTAGTGGTAATGGGCCATTTCATAACATCAGTTTTTAAGCAGATGTTTTGCTTAAATTTTGGTGACACATAATCTTCCTATTTATACTAGTAGACTTTAATGTAATGCAGAGATAGAAGTAGTGGTCCTACCACTCCCACCTCCGCTCCGGGTATTGCCCCACTCCCCCCACCCTCCTGCTGCTGCTCTGGGTCCTGCCCTGCTCCCTGCCCCTCCTGCCACTGCTCTGGGTCATGCCCTGCTCCCCCTGCTGCTCTGGGTCCAGCCCTGCTCCACCACCTTCCCTGCTGCTCTGCACATGAGGGCGTGTGGCTCAAGGCTGTGCAGGGGCCAAGGTAGCACATGGCTGTGGCACAGGGGACATGGGGGGATGTGGCACACGGCTGTGTGGTGGGCACATGGTGTGGTAAGTGCCCAATGGCTGTGGCTGCATGGCATGGCCCTGGGGTGTGGCAGAGGGTGTGTGGAGAGTGTGGTGCATGGGGGGAGGACTGTGCAGCCATAGGGAGCTGCACAGGGAGTGGGCAGGGGGGGCACAGCTACAGTTGGCAGGCACTACCCATACCCCCCATGCCTGCACCCCTCATGGGACCCTGCGGCCACAGCTCCCTCTCCACACCCTGTGTGCCCTGTGGCCATAGTTGGTGAAGACTCCAGGGTGGTGGTGGGGGGTCATGCGGTGTGGCATGAGGCCGCAGAGTGCCATTCAGGGTGTGGGCATGAGGAAGGCATCCCACCCTGTGGCCATATGCTGCCTATGCCCACCCACCATCTCCCCTCGGAGCTGTCCACGGGTGTGCACCACACCCACCCTGCTACGTCCCCCCCTGTGGCCTGCAGCCAGCAGGTGCTCCCCACATGTGGTCCCCCCCTGCACAGCACCCTGCAGCCGTGTTCCCTGCCCCTGCTGCAGCCAGTGGGTACTCCTAGGGGATAGTGTGGTGTGCAGGGGGGGTGTGGTGCATGGCTGCAGGATGCTGCAGAAGGGGTGGGCACGGGAAGCATTCCTCACCCCACGGCCACGTGCCGCAGTCAGCAGGCACTGCCAGCTCCCTCCTGCCCACTGCCCTTGCAGCATCCTGTTATCACATGTCATGCTTCCCATCCCCAGCTTGCTGTCATGGGGGAGTGGGGCAGTGGGCATGGATTGCAGCTACATGGAGGTATGTGGTGCGTGGTGTGCGGTGTGGGGAGTGGTGTGCGGCCACAGGGTACTGTGTAGGGAGCGGGTAGGGGTTTGTGTGCTGCAGCTGGCAGGCACTGCATGTGCCCGCCCTGCCCACTCCCTGCACAGTATCCTGCAGTCGCACCTCCCTCCCACCGCACAGTCACACACCATGCCCCCCACACAGGCAGTCCCACCACGTGCCCCTCAGCGAGGAGCACAGCCTGGCCCTGAACACCTCTGCCCCCACCTCCACCTCCACCTACGCCTGCCTGGCTGGCTGTCATAAGGCCTTGCATGCGCAGTTGGCCCAGAGCATTACAGACAGATGGAGGTGGTAAGGCTTTTATTATATTAGAACCATCATCATCATTATTACTATTATTATTGCTACCATTACTACTAATACTAACTATAATTATCACTGTTACTCTTATCATTGTTGTTGTTATACTATTTCAGGCTGCCCCTGCCCTGTATACAAACAATTTCATTCAATTACTGCTAAACACTTGGATTAAGTCTTCCAAATCAGCCATGCTGCAGAACAGAACTGTGAGAGAAATACTGTGGGGCTATAAGGATCCATTCTTGGAGAAAGTCCCCTTCCCTCTGGACTCAACACTTGGCGTCTTCTACCCTGTAAGTAAGATCCAGGAGAAAATGTTCAATTAACATTCTGTGGAAAGGGACCCGGTGTGTAAAAAAACCAAACCCTTCACTACACACAGATATTTGCAGTACCTCATAGGAGAGTTAAACAAGGAAGAAATTGATAAAATCGATGGAAGTGTTTAGGAGAACCCATCCCAAAGACCATGGTTCCAATCTGGAAAACATATGCATACGCATATGCCCTTACCTCCTCGCAGGCTCCCACAGAAGTCAATAGCTCTTCACAGAAGATTGAGGCTCTTTGGACATGGGCTTAATTTCAAGCATGCAGCCTATGATAACGCTTACTTAGAAAGGGGGGTCAGGAAGTTTCTGAGTAGCATTCTAGCCTGTGATCACTATGAGAGAACACACTTTCTTCCATTTTGTTATAGAAGTGCACAGCTGTGTGTGTAGGAGGGAACAAATAGGCAAAAAGGCACTAGGGTATAGTTCTGAGCCACACAAACATTTCATAGGAAAAAGTGTAGGACAAGAGAGAGCAGAGCATTCCTGTAGCCAGAATCCTTTTGTGTGGCAACAGGAAGAAATACAGATATTCAGCAAGTATGCAAAGCAGATGGCAACATATGGATTAATCAGCTGCCATCTGGAACAGTACCAGTGGGTAAGAGAAGAGATTCACGTTTAGCACTTCCTTTAGCACTTCGTTGGACTCTTTCCCAGATGAGGCTTAAGCAAGAAGAAAATGTTACACCATCTTCTCCCACGACTAGGCCTGTGTGCCCTTGGGCCCCAATTCAGGAAATCTCTTAAGCAAGTGGTTTACTTTAGTGACATTCCTCTTACTTAAATGAATATGACTGTTCAGATATGTAGATGCCAGGGCAAATTCAGGCTTTTCTTGAATAAAATCCTTAGTTCCTTTCTGCTGTTATCATTATCACGTTTCATTCCAAACATTGCAACCTCCGTGCCAATAAAATCCATAAGGAGAAAAACCTACATCCGACATTTGCACAGTCAGCAAGACATTTAGAATAAAAACAATAAAGAAAGATGTATTCAAATAAGGTCTCGTTGAAACGTTTGGAGCAAAAATACTCAAACTGTTATTGTTTGCTCTTGTGTCTTGCAGTATAATGGAACAGCTGATGGAGTTTACAAAGTTTATAATGGGAAGGATGACATAAGCAAGACAGCAATAATTGATTCCTATAAAAACAAAAGGTACCATAAGCATTTTTTGTAAGAAAAATGGGCACATTTTGAAGGCACAGCTCTATGAAAGACAAAATGGGACAGATTCAATATGAGTTACAATCAATGGAAAAATGTCCATTGACATCGCTGACATCTGGATCTGACTCTATTATTGGTAGAGCCATAGCTCTTAGCTGACTCAGTTTCACAACTGACTCTGTTTCTGTCTTGCACTTAAGACAGGTATGGATATTATAATCAAGTAGCGGTTCCTCTTTTCCCTTGTGAGTAACCAACTACCTTTAATCCCATTTCCTATATCACTAGTATTATAAGATATGATAGAACCCTAGGCAGATAAGGCAGCCAAAATAAGTTGACACTTTGTCTCATATTTTGATGTACTGAATAAAGGACCATTTCATAGGACTATTTAAGTTAGAAAGTCAAGGTAGCACTCATCCATTCTGAAATATGACATCAAAATGTATTATTGCGTTACTGTCAAAACAAAATTCCCTCTCAGGCTTTCTTATAGTGAGTTGCCAGAGCAGTAGCTAATGTAAGCATCATTTAGATTACTTGGCAAGCTGGAAAAAAATTGTTTCATTTGGTTTCATAGATAATTTTCATATTTTATGTAGAAAAGGAAATGTTTTTAGTAGAAACACGTTTGGAACATAAATGTAAATCTACATACTCTATCCCTGTTTAAGATGAGTTAAGATGTTAAAAATATCCTGGCAATGCTGGGGAAAAAATATTTGCCATTAGGTTCAATGCCACTTGGATAAAAATGGTCTTGAAACTTCCAAAAATATGCTTTAAGATTTCCTTTTTATTACACTGGAATTCTCTGTGTCCATACAACATTTTATTTTTCTTCTTTCTGAGAAGGAGACTTCATTATACTTCCTTAGGGTTTTTCCCCATTCACAAAATTAAAACATAATCTTTCTGGCATATATTAAAGATTATATCCCTTTCCAATGAACAGAAACAGCAAACAAACAAGAACAACTCTAAAGTGTTCTGTCCTCCAAATATTTACATTAGCCTTAGGAGACATCAGTGGGGCTAAGTACAGACAGCTAAAAAGCCTGAGGCTGAATTGATTCAGTCCTCACAAGTTAGTTTAAGCTGTGTAGACTGGACAAGCAAATGAACATAAATTTACTTTTGAGTTTGGAAATGCAGCCACATGCCTACAGTGGCCCAGACCAGAAGCCTGGGGGTGCCAGAGCAAGCCTCCCTGCTCACCTAGAGCAGACAGCTTGGGCCAAGGCTAGCCCACCCACATACTATGTCCACCTAGGTTTATCTTAAGCCCATTTTGGCCATTCTGAAATACGACAGTTTATGTGAACTGAACTTCTGTCGTGTTACAGATTTGAACCAGTTGCCAATCATTTACAGGGGTTTATTCATAATGTCTATCCCTAGCCTGGGTGTGTACCAGGGAAAAATCAGGGTCAACCTTTCTCTGGGAGAGCAAGGAGAGTGACTTACTCTGGAATATTAGACATCAGAACTGAAAATCAAAGCAGCAGATGTCTTTGTAGCAAGTAGGGGACTCAATACTGAAAGTATTGTTCAGGTCCATAGCTGCATGGGCTCTGCTTCAACAAAGGACATAAACCATCACTTTAAGTAAATGAGTAGCCAAGTGGTCAAATGCTTTATTGGATCAGGGCCATATCCCACAAATGAAATGTTCAAAGCTGCCTGGGGGATTTAGCCTCATAACTCCCATTGATTTCAGTGGGAGAGACATGGTTAAGCCTCCTTGGTTTTAAATCCCTCAATCCATGTCTTTGTGTCTACTGTTTTTTTACCAGTCAGGATGTGTCTTCCTCTCCATGGAGCTGACATAATGGCATTTTTGTGACATAGTGGCATTTTTTCTCACCAAATTAATATGAGGAAACATGCAGATTCTGCACTGAGTTAAAACTCCTAAGGAAGAAGGAAGAACTAGGAAGAACTAGGTTGTGTCCAGACAAGTGCAGACTTTTGTTTTCCTGGAAACGAGAAGCAGTGGCACAGCTTGCAGCGCTGCTATTTGTCCCTAGGAAATGCCTATGCCACACATGCTCTGGAGCGTGGCAGGTTACCCTGGGTGGAGTAGGGGAGGCTGGCCCTGTGATGGCCAACAGCACTGTGCTGGCCCCAGCAACCTTACCTGGGATCCTGGGGGCCTCCCAGAGCTGCAGCAATGCCAGGAAGCCTGGCCAGCTCCAGGGTGTGGTTCCACCTGGCCAGGCTCCAGTTTGGGGCAGTGCATGCTGCTGCCATGTGCGCTGCCCTGCTTTTTTTCATGTGGTTTTTCTTGACCCTGGGATCTCCCGGGGCCAACCCCTCCTTCCCTCACCACTGCAAGGTAGCAGCACAGGCAACGACTGTATGTGAGGTGCCACAAATGGGTCTGGGGTGCCGCATGCTGGATGCAGCCCCAGAGTTTGCTGAGTCCTGAAAAAGTGAGATGAGACAGTGAGAGACTGACATGTCTTGCATTGATGTTGTTTGAGAAGGCATGGCACACTATTAGCATCACTTCCATGAGCTTTTCTGTGTCCTTGTTGATGAATGGGGCTAGTAGGGGAACTAAAGCAACATATGTAGTTAATTGGGTAATGAAGTAGATTGTATTACACAAGACACTGAATAACCAACAACCTTTATTTTTTATTAAAGAAATCTTTCATACTGGGAAGGTCATTGTGACTTGATCAATGGAACAGGTGAGCCTATATGTCTTTTACATGTTAAAAACGCCAGTGATTTTTCTGATATTGGTGTGATACAACGTTGAAATGAAATACCTTAAACTTTTTTTGTATTCTGCACATAAAGAATTCCCCTCTTACTAAAGCAGATGCAGAAAGACTCCAACACACTTTTCCTATTATCTGCATAGTACAATAGAATAGTGATTTATTTCTTTGTGTGCAGTTTCTGTATATGATGTGTCCCAAAATCCTGTCCAGGCCTAAATTATATGCTTACCAAGTGTTTGATATGGGAAGATAAGGAGCTCCAGAAACAGTGGAAAAGGCTCTCACTTGGAACAGTAAAAAATACATTTGTAGGCAAGAGCTTGACTGGAGTAAGCCAATGGAGAGCTTTAGGATCCATTTTGAATTGATTCTTAATAAAGCCAATGGACTGGTGCAAGGGTCAGGTTAATATTCTTACTGCTTTTCACACTGGACAAATCCAGTGAGCCTGAGATTGCAGAAGCCGTGGTGAAGGCTGGTACAAGAATAGTAGTGTTATAGACATGGGAGGTAGAGACAAATGGGGTCTGAGGGGATGGGCATACAAACACGTTGCCATGAAGTAACATGCACTATTCTCTCATAAGTGATTGTGCCGACACTCTTGTTTCATTATAAATGGAAAGTAGCTTTTCCCTCTATTAAAATGGGCTAAGCGTCCATGCATGCATTTCTGCAGAAGAGCACACACAAGAGCAGTTACTATGGAATATCTGACGCACTAAATTCACAGCATAGCTTACTTTATGGCAACATGTTTGTGTATCTATAACCTTAGTCACGGGTATTGAGGGAGAAGACAGGAGTACATATAAGGATGAGAAACACTTCTTTCTTTGAGGTGTCTGGGTGGAGCAAGTTGAAATGAAGCTACAAATATACGTGGTCAAAATAAGCAGTGAAGATGAACATGGCAATATCAAAATATATGTACAGCTGTGTGTTATGTTGGTAGATTAAAATAGATAAAAAGGAGAGCAAAAGCAAGATGACTAAAAGGGAGAACAGAGATAGTAAAGAACAGAGGGCCAAGAAATGAACCCTGTGGGACTCCATCCTAGCAACAACTCCAGAGGACACAACAAACTTTAAACAGTTCATTTTATGTGATGTGAACTAACTATCTATCCTCTTCCCAAAAGGCCTTAAGCCTGAGGATGTGAAAAACAAACAGGTTTTTTTGTACTGTAATGTGCTAGCTCCCATAGACCTTTCTCCTTACAATACAGTGAAGAAATTAGCTGATTCTGGTGTGAAAGTCCCGGAGTTTGAGCATCCTTTGAAGGTGGAGTCTCGTAGGATAGATTCTTCAATATGCTCCAGCCTAGTGCTTCTTTACCTCGGGCAAAGCAGACCCTCATGTTCTGGGATTTTTTTTAAAATGTACTTTGAATCCTTTACCTCATTCTCTGCCATCTCATTTTTCACTTTTTTCCTTTTCTTAAGGAAACTAGAATGACAAGCCTGTAGGCTATAGACATTCTCTGGCAACTGGAATTTGTGCTGGGGTACAAGGTACTAATCTGAGTGAATAAACCAAGAACATTTTGTGAATAACACATTTCTTACAACACGAACATTCATAAGAGTTGCTGAACAGAGAATACGAGTCCAGAGAGTTAACAGGACACAAACACCCTGTCAAGATGTGAGAATTTGTTCTTATCCTGTGGACTTCTAGGCTTTCCTTCTCCTGATAAAAATAAGTGGTTAGATAGCAAGTAAATACTAGTCATGTCTGCATGTACCCCGACTGTGCATTTGGTACTGTGCAGTCATTTAGTACTTGCTAAAACACATGCTAAGGCAAGTACTAACTAACTGTGTAGCACCCCCCCGGTAAAGTGCAGTCCCAGCAAGCACATAGTTATTTTTAGACTCTACATTGCCGTAGCGATCAGCTACGGCAATGTAGCTTGTCTCTATGGCTATGTAGTACCAGTATCACAGTTTGTGCCCGCTGATGCTACGTCACTGTAGCGATGAGCTACATAACCATAGCTCCTCACTAGGGCAGTGGACCATCTCCTGTAAACATACCCACTATAGGCAACATTTTCACACAGGATTAGAAAGTGAGTCAGCAGTTGGAAATTAATTTTCCAGATTGTGAAGATTTAGGAATAGCACATCTCTGTGGTTTTATATGAGGAAAATAACCCTGCCGAGGGCGAGTGATAGCCTGGAAGTAATTCACCATACTTTTTTTCAGCTAGCCTGAGGATGCATTGATATCACAGAAGCTTTCAGATACCTTGGCTACAGTATAAGAAACAAACTGTTGTAGGATCCAACAGTTAGAGTTGATTATAACATGGTGTTGGTCAAGAGCAATCTTCAGTGCAATTGTGGTAGGGACATTAAGTGAATAAGAGCAAAGGAAAAATCCTAAAGGTAGGATTTGTATAAGCACTAAGCACTCAACTTTCTAGTTCAATTTAATCATTTCTGAAAATCAGATGCGAAGCCTTTCGACTGCATAAACAGCTGCCTAGGACAATCATTCTTGAGCATGCCCAGCCTACCTGCTCATGCTCTTTTGTGCCAAGTCTTTCCTCTGGGGGCACCATGTCCCCTCTGTTACACAGGCTGAAGACAGTGGTCATGAGAGTGGTTGAGAGAGCACCTACCTACCTGGATCAACTTCATTACTGCATTTCTGTGTCTGGCACATGCAAGGTAGCCAGGGCTTTCAGGAACAATTGTCCCCATGAGCACTGAGGATGTGGTATAGAGACATATCTTACATTCCCTATGTATTTGAAATGACCTCATGACTTCCTGTTGATTAATAATTTTACCTGCTGCCCATACATCACATCTGCCAAATTTAAAATAAAAGGATTTTTATACTGGAGACTTCAAAGGGGGTTCCCATTTGGACTTGTAATATGAAAAAGGACTTGGTCTTCTCTATGGAGTAGCTGCCACTACTTAACCCCAAGAAATTCCTTTATCCATCAGTACTACACTTGTCTTTTTTGTCACAAATGTATCGAAGAAGGTATGGAAGAGTGCTGCATTGCTAGCAAGCTTCTATAATAAAAGTTGAATTGTTTTCAAATTCCATCTCTTATTTTGCTTCGTTGACAGATGGGTCATCATTTCCTCCCTTTGTTAAGAAAGATTCAATACTGCGTTTCTTTTCCTCTGATATTTGCAGGTAAGTAAAACTCTAGTGGGTATCTCTATTTCACAAGAGTTTCTTAAGTATGTTCTTCAAAAACTCATGTAAGACTCTCGATGAAATTTTTTTTGCTTGATATCAGATCACTGAAGTCAAACCTTAAAGTAAATACTAAATCTTTTGTGTTCCTCATTTCCTAATTAGACCCTGATTCTTCCACGTTTATTAGTCTTAAAAAGCAAGTTGTTGTAATTTATTTCCCTGGTCCTGTACACTCATGTAAATCAGGAGAAACTCATTTGGAGTTCAGGGTGCCTGTAGACATGCATGGAGGCTGTTCTGATATGTTATAATTAAAGCACATTGGAGTAGACTCAACTAATCGAGTCTGCTGGAGTGTGCTAATTAGCATGCCTCCAGCAGACTCCGCGTCTCATATATCAGCATCCCTGTGCTTCAAAATGGCAGCAGGGGCACTTTAACTAAAGCTCATTTGATGAGCTTTAGTTAAAGTGCCCCAGCTGCCACTTCGAAGCACAGGGATGCTGATGCACGACACGTGGTTGGCGCTTTAGTTAGAGCAGCTTTTGGATCGACTGTAAGTAAAGCACCCATCCTCCCACCTTTAGAGCATTTGTAAAAACACCCTCTGATGTGTTTCACTGATACAAAACTGGTCTTGTTGAAAGATCTAAAGGAAATGCAGGATGTGAGAGTTCAAAAAGACTGTTTATATTAGTAGTACCTAACACAAATTTGGACCTTAAATTATAAGGTAGGAGGAGTTAGTTAAGCACTAACTTTAGTATTTATGTGAAAGTAAATGTTGCATGGACTTTGTGCAGATAATATGCACAGAGGTGAATTTTAACCTTCACTGATAAATACATAACTGCTTTCTCACAAGGCATTTTTTATATCTTACCAAATAAAAAAAAAATCTTCATGGCCGATCTTCTTTCAGGCTGTTCCTTCTGCTTTTGCTATAAAGATGTCCTTGAATGCCCCAGAGGGATTGTTTAAAGCACTGCTAAATAAATTTAAAGCGTACAGAAATTTAATTACTTTTGGAAATTTATTTCCAGAGTCAGCTTTTATGGTCAGTGCCAGCAAGCAGCTGTTTTGTACTTAGGTTAAAAGTAACTAATGTATTTGAAAAGTATTTTTAAAAAAGAGAATAAAGTTTTCCAATTGAAATAAAGCTCAGGTAATGGACCAGTTTGGATCCCAGAAGTGAAGTCTACTCCATTGATCACAGCAAAGGACATTTCATGTAGATGACTCAAGAGACTAGGTTTTTTTGCTTATTTAATTCTCAGATTAACTAAAGAATGAAGGTGTCCTTAAGTCCTGATCTAATTGGAAAGCAATTTAGATTACTCTGTAGGAAAGACCATCATGCAAGACACCTTTTTCTAGGACTGGAGACATTAGATTGTTTTCTGTGTTATCTGATTTGTTAAACACTATGTTAGTTTGTTAACTTTGACTCTTTAGCTTGTAAAAAAAAATGATTGATGTGGTCTAACAATCACAATAGCCAAGGACATAACCTCAGATACCATATTTCCCTAAGCCCATGTCTGCTCATAACTGGTAGCATGTGACTGGGGGTAGATCACATTACACATGCCCTGTTTTTATACTCTTCCTATAAAGCAACCATCACTTGTCCTCATTGGAATCAGGATACTAGGTCAGATGGACCTTTGGTGTGACTCAGTATGGCAGTTCTTACGGTATCCAGTCTTACCAAAAAAATTAAAAAACCTACTACACATGTGATTGACTGGTAAAACTTCTCCCATGTTGTGTCAGACTGAAGTAGTAGTACTGAAAAACTTGAAATGTTTCACTATGGCAATAATTATAGATGCAGGCTACAGAACACGTTTTTCGTACACTTATACAAGTGTATTTTTGTGTGTGCATTTTATTTATTTATTTGCTCCCCTCTGCTCATCTTACTTTCATGAAAATATAAAGCATTCTTGCTCCTTGTTTGTAGATGTCTGAAACTGCTAAGGTATTCTAAGGGAGCCTGAAGTCACTGATACAACTCTTAGGAGTTACCTTATCATTTCAAAGGAAAGACAGGCAGAGAATTCCTATAATGTTTTAAACATGTTAGCTATCAAGACAGGAAGCATATGAAACACATTTTTTTTCTTTTATATTTAGGTCCATCTATGGCATGTTCACGAGTGACCAGGTTGTGAAGGGGATCCCCCTCTACCGTTTTAGTGTTCCTAGTGCAGCATTTGCATCTCCCGTTGTAAATCCAGATAATATGTGCTTCTGCACCGATTCTGTTGTATCAAAAAACTGTACATCTGCGGGAGCCCTAGACATTAGCTCCTGCAAAGCAGGTATAGTAGGATGGTATTAATCCAAACAAGTCATATGAACCAGTAGAAAGAAAAGTCTTGTAGTAAAGTTACTTCTCTGGGGTAAAAGCGATCTCTGTTTAACCCTGGTCTGTATCACAGATTTCTTATGTGAATTTGGACACTTCACTTACTACTTTTGTTACTTCTACCCTCAAAGGGTGGTGATACTTCTCCTCCTTGCTTGGATTTTGTAGGAAAAATAAATAAATAGATGAATTATATATACATTATAGGTATATAATTTTATTTATTATATATATATATAATAATTATTATCTAATATTATAAAAACCTAAGTCTGTCTGTTTGTCTGTAACATTTTATTTGTGCTCTGACAGGGTGCTCTAAGCATGTGGGAGCGCCACAATGATTCTGAAGCTGAGGCAGAACAGCGGCAGTGTGGGGCATTAAGTGGTGGCACTCCATCCCAGCCCCCTCCCGTCATTCTTGATGGGAAATTGGATAGTATTTATTTACAATTTTTCTACATAATCCAAGAAGGGAGGAGAAGTATCATATACAGTATATAATGTGTGTGTGTGTGTGTGTGTGTGTGCGCGCGCGCGCATGCCTGTGTGTTATACACACACTGAGGATCAGACACATACTATGATGATGGGGCTAGGTTTGATTATGGCACAAATTCAAAAAGTCCAGGTCAAGATGGGGCAATTCATTAGTCAGTAGATAGAGATGGAAGTTTCAGTACCATTTCCATATTCAGTCCTTTGGGCTAGGGACAGACATTCAAAAAGCCTGAATTGATTTAATCTTTGCAGGTTAGTCTAACCCACCTAGGCTGAATCAGTTTGTAATCATACAGATACTCCCTCTAGACTGACAAAATGCAGGCAAATGCTTGCAGTGGCTCAGGCTAGAAGCGGGGGGAAGGAAGGGGGAAGGGTTGCTAAAGCAGCCCTCCCTTCCCTTTCTCAGTGCTGAGCTGTGGTGGGGGGTTGTGGGCAGGCCCTGGCAGGATGCTCTGATTAGGAAGGGCTTTACCCCTCACCACCTGAGAAGCCCAGCAGGCAGTTGCTAACACTGTGCTTATCACCCTTAATTCACTGTTTATCAGCTCATTTAGAAAACAATAGCCTCTCTCCATTGGTTCAAGCTCTTTTAAAAAAGCTTTTCCAAGAAAGGAGCAGAGGAACATTACCAGTTATCTGCTGCTTCTGCCTTAGTCCCATCTCCCACAGCACGGATATAGCCGGCCTGCTAGCTAATGCTGAGAGGTGTCTGTGTGAGGCAGAGGGCAGGGGGGAATACTTGCTTAGCAGGGAGTGGTGAGAGAAGGGGGCAGCTGGGGGAAGCTAGGCAGATGCCTGCAGTCTCTGCCAGAGCTCCAGCCAGGGAGCAGATGGGGAGGGCCAGCCTTGTTGTAGAGCAGAGAGCCCCGCCCAGCCCAGAGAGCATGCCAGGATGCTGGGGGGGGGGAGTCTGGTTTAACTTAAACCAGCAAGGGGTCTGGGACAGACATTGCATAAACCGATTTGACCCAAATCAATTAAGTCTGATATTACAGTCAGCCAGGGTTATCTCAAACCAGTTTCAGCCATTTTCAAACTGGTTTGTGTGAACGTCTGTTCTGTTACAGGTTTAAACTAGCTTCTGATCACTTAAACTGGTTTATGTGTAAAGTCTGTCCGTAGCCTTGGAGGAAAAATAAAAAAGATCAGCATCCCCTGCCAAAAATCACAATCTCTGATATTTCACATATGCAGTGTGGTAACTTTGTGCATGATGAGAGGGTGAAGCACTCGGCTGGTTTAATTAAACATAGATCTGCTAGAATCCAGCTGAGATTGTAGTCCATATTCTGAACTCATGGAAAGTCTGTGTACACTCTAATGGGATTGTAGATTCTCCAGGGCCTTTCTTTGCTTTGGGCTTAGTACTTTTTTATAAAGAATGTGCATTTTTGGCATGGCTGTTACAAACATATGGTTACATAAAAATGCCCTCAGATGATGGACTAATAGAGAAAGCAGATTAATCTTGATGTTCTAAATATGCTTGTCTCTCTCTCTTTTTTTTAATAGGGAGGCCAGTATTTATTACCCTTCCCCATTTTCTCTTTGCCAGTGATGATATAAAAGAAGGTGTTGAAGGACTGAGCCCAAACAAGGATGAACATGAAACATTTTTAGATGTAGAGCCTGTAAGCTAAAATTACTTTAATACTTGCTATTTCATAACCATTCACAATATCACTTTGCCCTATAGTTACAGCACTGGTTCTTTAGGCACAGGGATGACCAGAGGAGTCCATATTTTTTCTGATTGGGCTTGCATAATGCTGTCACAAATTAGATATATTTTTGAACTGTGGGTGATCTGTATTCAAGATGCATGTAGAGGCTCATAATATGACTACTAAAAACACCCTTTAGTTTTGACGTATCAACCAGTTCATAAAAATTAATCTTACACAGCCTCATCAATCAGGTTTTGTTTTAACAAATCTACGCATAGATTCTATTTTATGTGAAGTATTTGGCTTTGGGGGTTTTTTAAATAAAAGAATGATTTAAGATGTTTTAAGAATACTTTAACTTTTAACAAAATCCCTGTACCGTAAATTCTTTAGTTATCTTCTGTATCTTTACATTGTCTTAGGAAATGATTTTATTTTTCCACAAAATTTCATTGATTTTGTAAAGTCATGTCACAGAGATATATTGACCAGGACTGTACCTGCAGTAGTCATTCCCACACACACCCTGCCCACCTCTCCCTGGAGGCTCTAGCAGCAGGCAGCACGCAGGAGCAGCAGCTGCAGTTTACTGCTGCTGAGGGGAAATGTCACCTCATTTTTTTTGCTACTGATGCCCATGTCAAGTGGGCATAAAAGCCCTCCTGATTTTGGCAGGAAAACAATGTGGTGACACCACCTCCCAGCAGCACTGAACTCCAGTGCTGCCCTAGAAAGCTACATTTCCCATTGTCCTGCACACACTGTACTGGTACGTCACCTTGCTGCTAGGGCTAGAGCTGGAAAATGCATTAAAAGGCAGAACAGAGGATGGGAAGGTGAGGCACCCCCCACACCATTCCAGCACTTCTCCCCAATTTAGGAAACGCCTAGGGCTCATGCCCTGCTCATTCATCCATCCTAATGCTACTGCTTTATTAACCAAAATCAATGTGAAATCTCAAGCAGACTTTCATATAGGGAGTACAATGGCCATTTTTCTATACATGTAGGCTGTATAATGGCCAAGATAGCATCTATAGGTCCTTATAGTTTAATGCCTTGAATTTGGAGACTTTCACATTCCCAACTAAGACTAACTCCTCATAGAAATAAATTATGTAGAAGCCAATAACGCTACTCTATTTTCTACTAGTCAGCGATCACATATAACTGTTGTTTATCTGAAACCTTCAAGGACATTTTTCTTGAAGTTATCTCCTACAAGAACTTGTCTCTTTCTGCTCTGTGCTTTCCATGTATTAAATTCTGTTGTAATGTATTTTTCATATAAATGCAGCCACTGCTGAATTATGATGAACAAGTAAATACAGATCTGTTTGATCTTCCTGTCAAGTTAATGACTGAAAACATGAAACTTTCTGGTCTGATTCTAAAACAGATTTGACTAATAGATATTTTGCAATGCTGTCTATTACAGATAACTCCCAACATAAACACAGTTATTCATAAACATAGTTAGTATATCTTTCCCTTTACTTTGTTCAAGTTTCCCTTTACTTCGGTTCCAATCCAGCAATGTCCACATTTAATTTTAAGCATATACGTAGTTATCATTGAATGATTTCAGCTAGACTATTCATATTTTAAAATACATTTCTACATGTTTTAATAGATTGGAGCAAGGATGAATAGATCTATTCTAAAAATACGAGGGTTAAAGTGGAAAAAACCTGAACATATGAAACAGAAGAGCAGATTAATCTGTTTACATGCATCTACATGTGTGCTTTACTGTTTGCTAACTAGCTCTGCAGTAAAGAGTCAGTCTACACACACACCAGTATTAAGGCACAGTAAATTAATTAACTCTGGCATAGGGGAGTACTTTTGGGACCAGTACTATCCTATGGCAGAATAATTTACACTGCTGAAAAGCATGCGTAGACAGGGACAGGGCCTGGCTGCAGCACAAGGGTGCTAAAGTGCAGGGGCTGCCTGCTGCCTAGCCCTGCACTTTAGCACCCTTGTGCCCCAGCCAATTGTTCCCCTGCCTGACATTGCCACCCAGAGCCCGGGGCTGCTCTTCCCTGGCTCAAAGTGCTGCAGTCCTGGTCACACATGTAAACACTGCACCTGGCAGTAGCTGACTGTGGCGCAAAGTGGAGTTATTGCTCCAGTTTAATATCACATGTACATGAACCCTGTATATACAAAATTAGTCTTGGTCGCAGCTTCAGATCTCTTCAAAAACTGACTCCAGAATTGATATAAAGTAAAAGCTTGTGAAATCCTGTGGGAAAATCTAAGATTTCAATATCTCATCTGGTCCTTAATCAGGATGAAAAACTGATTTTACTAAAGTAAATATGAAATCGTTGAACCTATTTCACATTCTTAGGTGCTTCTGTGAGATTGAGTCATAGGCTGAAATTCTATAATTTTGTATTATGGCTTCATGTTCAGTGTCCTGTCACCGTCCTCACTTATATATTTTGCATTAAAGAGTCATCAGACTAAAGAGAATAATAATCAAAGGTCCTGAATCCAGGACTTCCCCATCACAAGGGGAGGCTGGTTTCATCAGGCTATGGTCATGCTCCCTCTTGCTTGATTCCCTTCTTGTCTTTTTTCACAAGAAACTCTGCCTCTGGTCATGCTGCACCTATTTCATGTAAATGCTTCTAGTGGTCAGTGACACCAACACTAAATTCACATTGGCTATTTTTCTTTCTGGTTTTAGACAACTGGCTTTACATTACATTTTGCCAAAAGGCTGCAAGTTAACTTACTGGTGAAACCTGCATCAAAAATCGAGTAAGTGCTTTTCCTTTCTTTAGTTTTTAAAATTCAGATACAGTATTTTGTTATATTTCCTTCTAGCAAGGGTGACACTCTCTAAAAAAATAATTGTTAAGAGTGGTTGAAATCAAGAATTTGTTCGAGGCTCCTATCAACAGACTGCACATGGGATGTAAACCTCAGATAATTATAAATACAAAATGTGTCAACATGTCTCCAGCACCACGACGATCAATGCCCCTCACAAAACCATCAGAATCCATGAATCCTACACATGTATGTGTATATGCATGCACACATGTATATGTTTGTACACATGCGCACATATACATTTCCATGCATGTGCATCCGTACATGTATTAAGACACACACACATATCAACTGTATTCCTTCACATACCACATGCTCCTAAACAGGACAGGCTCTTTGCTTTGGGAAAGCAGAATGAAGAAGAAAAGGTTATCCAAGACTCAGGGCTGAGTGCTGGCTGCATGGAAATTTTCAGCATCAGTCACCCTCCTCTTGCTGCTTAGCCAACAGCTGTTGCCAATTCGACAGTGGCTGTGATAGAATTAAAGCTTTAGCTACCAAGCTGCAAGGAGAGTGAGAGTGATGCTGAGAAGTGGACTCTACCCCTCCTACATGCAGCCAGGAGTCCAGTATGGAGACAGCCTTCCAGCAACTATTCCAGCATCCTCATGGCCCCATTCTGATGTAGAAATCAGCTTTCTCACTTAAAATATTCACCCCAGTTTTGGGTAGCTAATTTCTGGGGGAAAGGTGAACATAATATGTGAGTAAATACAATCTTGTTCCCGTGTTATGTAACTGGTAGATTTCCAAAATCAGGAGTCTTTCAAATGGGGAAAAAATGTATGTGCATCCACTGTATACACATCCATTATTTATGGTCGCACCTACAAACCTCAGGCATGTATCAAGTCCCAAAAACAGGGATCAAAACCTTTTTGAGTTTGGCTCTGTACACACCCCTAAAAAAACAGTCAGAGAACCCTACTCCATTCCAAAAGGGTATAGGAGGCAGGAGATGAATACATAGAAAACAAATGTATATAGGGAACAAAAGGTAGAAGGGAAAAATCAAGTTCAGGTAGATGAGTAGATGGTGCGGGGGGGAGGTGTAGAGAGAAAGAGATGGGGAAAGAGCTATTTACTTTCTCAGAAAGTAAGTACTAGACATGGAGGGATATGTAATATGTACAATGGCTGTAGTTACCTGTATGCCTTTCTACAGTTTGAACTTACTGAAGCTTTTCTATGCAAGTATGTAAAAATTATACTTCCTGACATTTTCAGAAATGTGGAAGGTTAGAGGGGGTTAGAAATTGCCAAATCAAAACTGTGACGATGCAAAATCTAAATAATATGTTTAATTACAGAGCTCTTTCCAAAATTAAAAATCCCTACATCTTTCCTGTTCTGTGGCTGAATGAGGTCAGTATATTTTCTATCTATTAATCACTTTATTTTATCTTTCATTGAAATAGTTTGAATTTACCAAAAAAGGTTTATAGCAGAACAAGGAGCAATGGTCTCAAGTTGCAGCAAGGGAAGTTTAGGTTAGATGTTAGGAACAAGTTTCTCACTGGGAGGCTAGTAAAACACTGGAACAGGTGACCCAGAGAGGTGGTGGACTCTCCATCCTTGGAGATTTTAAAGACCCAGCTAGACAAAGCTTTGGCTGGTCTGGTCCTGCCTTGAGTAGGGGGTTGGATTATATGACTTCCTGAGGTCCCTTCCAACCCCAATTTTCTATGATTCTATAGCATTGTCAGCCTTGATTGCCTAAATTTAAGTACTTGAAGCAAGGTGCTCATTATTTTTAAAGCTACCTCCATAATAAAGACATCTTTTCCAGAAAGGTGATCCAAAATGACTGGGTTAAAAAGCCTGGCTTCCTATGCAGTGGATGATTCAGATGATGTATTTATTCAGCAGGGAGGTGTCAACAGTTAGACTACTGTTTAATATAAAATGCATAAATGTCCAAGGAGCCCCCAGGAGGAACTGAGACTCATAGCCCATATGGAGGGCACTCCCCCAAGAGATGAAAGTCTTGGAACCAGGGACCAGAACCCTGGCGTCTCCCCTTCTAACCAAGTGCTCTACTTAGTGGGCTACTGTGTCATGCTCCTCTTTATCCTATGAATCTTTTATGCCTTTCTGCACAATGGTGCAGCTTCAACTGAAGTTGTAGAGATTGTAGGCAACCCAACCTATTCTACGCCCTGATGGTTAGGGCACTCTAAAAGTTTTATACCTCCTCAGGCTGAGGAAGGGCTTAAGCCCAGGTCTCCCATTTCCTGGCACGTGCTTTAGTTATTAAACTTTTGTGAAAAGGGTAGGTGACATTACTACCTATTCCTTTTCCAAGTGACTGTGACCTGTGACTGTGACCACTGTCATGTGGCTTGTGCTAACCGCGCTGGTGTGAATTAGGCATATCCCAAAGGCTGAACTGATCCAGTGGGGAGGAGGGCAAGATTTAGCTTGTATTGGTTTCTTCTGAGCATGTTCAGAAGTTTAAGTCTAGGTAACCTGGGGATCTTTTCAGGCCAAAATAGAAATGCTGAATGAATTTGGGTGCCTAAATAGGACTTGCAGCGGCCGGATTATAATTGTTGTTAATCAGTTTTTAAGATTTCAGGGTCCAATTTATTCCTAAATCCCATTTAGACTTCTTATTTGCCAGTTGGGATCTGGTTCTTAAAGCCTTATACAAGCTAAAATCATTATAGAACTGATCACACATGAATATGCATTTAGTGAGAAAGGTACTGTATAATTTGTTCATAAATGATGTTGCTCTTGCATTGTTTCAGACAGCTATTATTGGTGATGAAAAAGCGGAAATGTTCAGATCAAAAGTGACCTCTCGAATCAACATGCTCAACATCGTGCAGATAGCATTAATCATTGTTGGTTCTGTGATGTTCCTGGCATTCATGATCTCATATTTTGTGTGCAGAACAAAGGATTTCAAATAAGTAAGTAGATATTGACCGCAATGGGAACTTTCCCTCAGTAAAGACTTCAGGATCTGGGCCCTAGAATTCTTTAGTGGATATTATGTATTTAGTGTTCCTTGAATTCTGAATTCTAATTCAGCCAGACATTTATCAGTCAGTTTTACTTTAGGTGTTTCCCTTGAAACAGTCACAACATTTTTCAGCTCAAGTTTGCGAATTCAGCTCATGTCACTAATCAGGCAGGATGTTATCAATGCTTTTAGTTTCATGCAAGATTAGACCATGGGACTTGGAAGACTTGACAAGCAGTGCCTTATTTTCAAGCAGTTGAAAGGGTCAGACTCATGGGACTCTTCAGCCTGGAGAAGTGCAGGCTCAGGGGGGACCTGGTGGCTGCCTATAAGTATATAAGAGGTGTTCACTGGGATCTGGGGGAATGCCTGTTCACCAGAGCACCCCATGGGATGACAAGGTCAAATGGTCACAACTCCTCCAAGACTGTTTCAGGCTGGACATAAAGAAGAACTTCTTTACTGTCCAAGCCACAAAGGCCTGAAACAAACTGCCTCCAGAGGTGGTGCAAGCACCTACTCTGGACTCCTTTAAGAGACATCTGGATGTTTATCTTGCTGGGATCTTTTGACCTCAGCTGACTTCCTGCCCCTGGGGCAGGGGGCTGGACTTGATAATCTTCTGAGGTCCCTTCCAGCCCTAATGTCTATAAAATCTATGAAATCTATTAAATGGCTTTATGATCTGTTGTCCAGAGCTGTTCCACAGATCAGAACTGAAGTGGCCGTCACGGCTGTTCCACTCCCCTTCTTTGAGGTACAATGCCTTTTGAAACCCTGGAGTTGCAGATCAATAGGTTCTCTTAGCAGCATTTCCCAGCCTGACCTACTGAACTTCCTGTGCACTATGACTTAGGCATCTTGCTCTAACAAGAACTTTGAATACTCTAATTTTTTCTTGTTCACCATTTCACAGTTGAACTGCATTAGTTTTACTGGGTCATGGCATTATATAACAGAGCATAGGATTAAATAATAGTCCAATAAGGTACAAATGGGGTATAGCACAGTAAATAAAGTAGTTGTAGCAAATGCATGTAGACACAGTAAAACATTGACAACCAGCAAAATGGATGTGTTTCTTGAATGAATTGCAGGAAATGAGGGGCTAAATAGTATCAACTTCAATATAATGCTATAAAATTGTGTATTTGAGGTTAGTAGCATTTTACAGAAAAAAATGACATAGATAATAGGGCTCTGCAAAATGGTACCATTCTGTTTCGCCTTGTGTTTCAACAGTTCAATGGAACAGTGTTTTGTCTCAAATTTCATTTCGAGTCGAAACAGTTTTTCAATTCCGTCGAAACAAAAAGGCTGTTTTGACACTGTTTCGAGTTTTGCTGGGGATGAGTTTTTCCATCCCCAGCACTACATCACACCGGGGGTGGAGGCAGCCCAGCTGGGCTGCTTCCTGAGGCCCTGCACTAGATCGCGCAGCTGGGCTGCCTCCTGCCCCAGCGCGATCTAGGGCAGGGTATTGGGAAGCAGCCCAGCTGACTTGACTTCCTGTGCCCAGCCTATGATCAAAACGTTTCAACTTTTAAAACATTTCGACCAGCCTCTTTTTATTTCGAGCCTCTTTCAATGGCCTTTATTTCATTCTGATTTTGCTGTTTCGACCTTGAAATTGGTTAAAACAGTATCAGAACTAAACGGCCAGTGAAATTTTGCACAGCCCTAATAGATAATAATATATAATTAGAACAGATTGTCTGCCCTCTATAAGGCACCATTGTTTTGCATAAATTACTAAGTCATTCTTACTTAGTAGGAAGAATATATATACACAGTTTATTAACCACTATCTTTTTTCTTTACAGACAGCAAAGGTCTTCTGAGGTTGGCAGTAGCTGTCATATTTCTGGCAGTTTATTTTGTCATTGAATCGTACTAATCTGATGCCATAATGTACTTTATACAAACAAATACACCATGGAATTAAACACACTTTTCTGTTCTGGGAAACAATGGCGATGCACAGGGAGTGCATGTGGGTTCGTGTGTACCCCCTGAGTGTGCCGGTGCACCCCATGTGAATAGGCACCGCTGGTGTCGGCAGCACTTGTGGGCGGTTGCCACTGACCTTCCGCCCTCACTGCTGATGCCAGTGGTGTCTGCAGGCGGTCTGCAATCGCTGATGGCTGCTGCCGCAGCTGCCAACAGTGTCGGTGGGTGGTCGCTGACTACTAGTCCGTGCTTGCAACCCCCTCCCCTCCACCGCCAACAGTGCTGTGGCTGCCTACAAGAGCTCCCCGCTTGCTGCAGCCATGCTCCCATCACCGCCAGTGCTGCTGCCGCCTGCAGGAGCTCACCGTGCCCCAGCCTCTGGGGGCACATGGTGTTCATGCTGGGAAGAAAATACAGGTTCCATCTTACCAGCTAGAAACAGCTAATGTTTCCAAAGGTACATTTTTACCATGTCATCAAAGAGGCTCAAAGTCATACCCTGAAATCGCTATCTTTGTGTAAACCTCTGTTACGTAATAGTAAAATAACATTTAAATTGGTTAAAAGCGAGATCCAATTTAGAGAGCAATCTATCTTCCACCATTTATGCAGCTTGCTACTTTTCTTGTCTTGGGACTGCAAAATATAGGAATGAAAGCCATTTGCTGATGTTCTAGTCTGAGCATGGGTTGAGGGTGATGACAGCAAATTCATGTAGTGCTCAGTAAGCTACATGTATTTTTTTCTTTCCACTCTTTTAAGGAATGGAAGCTGCTGCAATAGAATTGCTACCCTCTTGTTTGAGATGTGAATTTTAATGAATGTAAAGTTTATTATGTAGAGTGTGTGTGTATATGTATGTCAATAAAAGACCTACTATAAGATTTGTTTTAAACAATGTATGTACAGAACACCTGTTCAAATACACACATATGTATGTTCATTTGCACACTAACAGTGGCAGATCCATACCCAAAATTGCTTCCCTTCTAACCATCTCTTTCTGCCTCCTAATCCCTAACCTTCATCCACTGCACCCTCCTACTTGACCCCTTACTTACCGCTTTTTTTCTGGCAGTTTCTCAGCCAACTGCCTTTCATCTTGCAAATTCATTTTCATCTCAACTTCTCATTTTCATCTCAGCTTATCCTTCTATCCTACCCTTCTCTCAGACGACATGATCCACTTTACCATATCCATAGGCAGGATCAGTCTCTGGAGAAGTGAAAGCAGACCTGCTAACACCAGCACTATCACTAGCAGTCATCCCTTCCTGATACAGAGGAATGCAAAGACAAAGAGGGGGGCTACAAACCTCTCTTACTGGCCATGTACTGTGATTGTGCAAGTGCAGCCAGCTCTTTAATAGGATGTATCATCCTGGCGGTTGATCCAATGACCATTGAAATCAGTGCTGTATTTTCATTGACTTCAGTGGAATTGGGACCCACAACTCACTCTGAAGTAAGAAAGTCAGTTCCTGTGAAGTATTTGTAACTCCCGTTCACTCACTGAATTTAGGGAGACCTGCATGAATTAATGCTTCTCGGGATTTGGTGTTTTCTCTCAAAAGGTGATTGCAAAGGAAATTAAATTTATGATTACATCAGCCAATATTCACAAAAACACAGCTTCATCTGGTGAACCCTTATCATAACATTCAGCAACAGATGTTAAACCAGGAAAATTTGCCTTCCTAAGAGAAGATAACATGAAAGATGAGAAGGGGAAAAAATGGTTGATGTGCTACTATATGTTCAGAACATTTTGCACTAGGAAATATGCCATTCCCACTGAAGTCAGGGAGAACTGACAAGATATTCTGAAAGGTCAGATCCTTTCTAAACAAAAATACAACATGCAGCCAAGGCTGATGCAAACATTACATTAGGATATGCAGATGTTCGACTTGCAGAGAAAAGCAAGCCTATTAGGTAAGTGAGCCTATATATATCTATCTTTTGAGATCTGATATCAGGATCCCGGCCTTATTGCTATACAGTCAGAAAAAAGCAAGACTATTTATGAACTATTGAGAAAACACTGATTCGATCATATATTTCAGTTGTAAGATCCTGCTCAATGAGCACTAGCACCTGTGATACATTGAACATGACTATTGTAACAAATAATTAGAGCTGGTGAAATTATTCATTTCTGATAGTGGACCAAATTCTGGTCTGAAATTAATGGAGCCAGGCTGCTTAATCAAATGAGAAATCACTTAAGTGATTCTGGAACAATTTGTCTCTGTTTGTCTTTGCTAATCATTTGCATTCTTATTTCCACAAATCTATTCCCATGCACATGTTCTCCATGAATTGTTTTTTTAAGTAAATCACAGGCTACAAGTTGCTCACAAGCTGTTTGCACTGGATCACTTTTCCATGGATTTCACCTTGTGTAGTCATCTGGGCAAAATGATTGCAGTCAGGCTGCCTCTGTCCACCCTTGAGTAATGAAACACTTGTGGAGCTCTCAAAGGCTCAGGATGGAGAAGCAGATGACAAAAGTGCCTCTAAGCTTCCTGGTACCAGATACAAATCCCAAATTTGGGGGGTGGGGGGTTGCTAGGTTAGTGGTTAGTCATTAGACTGTTAGTTGCTAACAATCCCAAAGAGATATTCTGGCAGCCAAGGACTTCTGAGGCACAGAGGCATTCTGGCCACATGTCCTTTTTCCCTTGCCATGACTCCATACTATGTGGGGAGAGGGTTGTAGCCCAGAAGATCTTACACTGGTTCCATAACCCTCAAGGATCCATTTAAAATGGTTTGTGGTGAGGATCCCCACCGTGGTTAGGGCAACTTTATGCTGGGGAATTAGCTGCCATAAAGCTGCTACAGTTCAGAGCAAGATGAAAGACCAGGATGATGACATTTTTACACGCACTTTGTCTTAATTAGTGTAGGTATAAATGATTATTCAAGGTTCATGACAGTGCAACATTGGCCTTTTAATTACTCTCTGTTGGTTCATAACTCATTGTGAAACAGACATTTGTTTCTGTTCCAGAATAGCCTGATAGAGAGCTTAATGCAATATAAGGCAACCCTAACACGCCTCTAATTTGTGCTGACGGCTAGCCAACCAGCAGGAAAGTACATGGAGGCATGAAAGTTGCTTCAAATCTGTAAGCTTCTTTTGGCTCTTCTCCTTCTGAGCTGAAATCAGTACAGCTCTGCTGCTGTTCTACGTCAAGACTGCACAATACCTAATTTTTCCATGCCAAAGGCTAATGGTGAAATCTTAACTCAGCTGATGTTAAAACTGGTATTGCCTTACACAGGATTTCACTTCAGTTTTTGGCTAACTGTCCATTGCCAACAGGTCAGATTTTCCTGTCTTAGGAAATATTGCAGCAATGGTCGAAAATTCAGACTACAGTTGTGAAAACCTTATCCCTTATGCAATATAAGTAATTTTAGTCATGTGTAGATTCCCATTGGTCTCGATCCAGATTTGGACTATTAGGTGATATTCACCATCTAGTCTGCACTTGGTTAATGCGTTAACATGTTTAAAACATTGTTTACAGTGATTCTGTATTAATATAGTGAAAATAATAGGATAACCTTAATTGATTACCTTTTTATTTAAGATTTACAAGTAAGATCTCCATTCTTCCTTGTTAAGCCATTGTACTGAACAAGCATTTATAACAAATGTTTCTGAGCTTTATAAAATAAAATACTTTAAAAATGTTATAGACACCTACTTTCAGAACCGTAAGTGTTTGAGGATTAATAAAGCTTTTCATGTTGGGTAATGATCTCCTTTTTTCTTACTGTTTTGAACATGTTGTCTCTTCTCTGGGGACTGGAGTTACACATTGTTACACAAAAGAGATTTTGTCCAAGCTTATTTCAAGCTCATTAGTGAGAGTGCAGGAACAAATATCCTGATGCGCAGGACAACTAGCAAGTATGGCAGAAGACAAATTTGTCTTAGCAGGGAACTCTTCAGTAAACTAAAAAACAAAAAAGGAAGTTTATGAGAAATGGAAACTTGGACAAATAGCTAGGAAAGAGTATAAGAGCATCGCTCAGGCATGCAGGGGTGAAGTCAGGAAGGCCAAAGCACAACCGGAGTTACATTTAGCAAGGGATGTGAAGGGTAACAAGAAGGATTTCTACAAGTATGTTGGTAGCAAGAGGAGGATCAGGGAAAGTGTGGGTCCCTTACTGAATGGGGGAGGCAACCTTGTGAGAGAAGATGCAGAAAAGGCTGAAGTGCTCAATGCCTATTTTGCCTCACTCTTCACAGGCAAGGTAAGCTCCCAGACTACTGCACCAGGCAGCACAGTTTGGGGAGGAGGGGAGCAGCAAACAGTGGTGAAAGAATAGATTAAAGACTACTTAGAAAAACTGGACATGTACAAGTCCATGGGGCCAGATGGGATGCACCCAAGGGTGATAAGGGAATTGGCTGATGTAATTGCAGAGCCATTGGCCATCATCTTTGAAAACTTATGGTGAACAGGAGAGGTCCTGGATGATTGGAAAAGGGCAAACAGTGCCTATTTTTAAGTAAAGGAAAAAGGGAGGATCCAGAGAACTACAGACCAGTCAGCCCTACCTCAGTCCCTGGAAAACCCATGGAACAGATCTTCAAGGAATCAATCCATTTATAAGCACTTGAAGGAGAAGAAGGTGATTAGGAACAGTCAGCATGGATTCACCAGGGGCAAGTCATGCCTGGCCCACCTGATTTCCTTATATGATAAGGTGACTGGCTCTGGATATATGGAGACTGGTGGATGTGATATACCTTGATTTTAGCAAGGAGTTTGATACAGTCTCCCACAACATTCTCACAGGCAAGCTAAGGAATTATAGGCTGGATGAATTGACTGCAAGGTGGATAGAAAACTGGCTGAAGCATTGTGCTTAGAGAGTAATAATCAATGGTTCCATGTCTGGTTGACAGCCAGGATCAAGTGGAGTGGCCCAGGGGTCAGTCCTGGGCCAATTTTGTCCAATGTCTTCATCAGCAACATGGAAGATGTCACAGAGTGCACCCTCAGCAAGTTTGCAGATGACACAAACCCTCTGGGGGGAGAGGGTAGGGCTAGGATTCAGATTGACCTAGACAAATGGGAGAATTGGGCCAAAAGAAATCACATGAGGTTCAAAAAGGACAAGTGCAAAATCCTGCAGTTAGGACAGAAAAATCCCATGCACCAGTACGGGCTGGGGACCGACTGGCTGGGCAGCAGCTCTGCAGAAAAGGACCTGGGGGTTACAGTGCACAATAAACTG